AGGTACTGGTTACACTGGTGTGGGGGACGACACGTTGCGGTTATGGAAATGTAACAAAATATAGTATGCAAAATTATCTGCTACACAATCAGCACCAATCACCACAGAAGAACGACTTAATGAAAACTCAGAATTCATTCACTAACGGAAAACCCGCTGGCAATCCGGAGACTTACAACTCGATATCAACGATAAAACACAAATTGTAAGAATGATACAGAATTGGCAGTATGCCCTTGATATACATCGATAAACTCTTGACCGTGTAAGAAAATTAGTGGGAAAACTTCTAATTGGATGAATATAAAAATTGAAACAAAAGAACACACTGCGGTGGTTTCTACCACGTTCGCATTCATGTCGTCGTCTCACTTCAGAATTCGTATTTTGCAACAATGTATAAGTCAGAATACAGTATTATTGAACTTGTATAAAATGTAATGAATAAAGCGTATCGTTATTACCATGTGAATACATATATTTTTCATGTTATTTAACCATAACTTCGCTTCTTTTTATCAGATTTATTTCATTGTTGTATGTAATTATCAGTATTTATTATCTTTAGTTATGTTATCAAGATTGCGTAGTAGTAGGCAAATTTCCTATAGATTTATGCTGTTTTCGTGACGCAAAGAAACACACTTTGGCCTGTATTCAGCCATTTCTATCAGTTTACATAAGTGTATTCTCCCTGATTGGCTCAATTAAAACAACCAATCATATTAATTGACGCCAAGGATTAAAATTCTAAGGTGTGAATCCACCCTTGTCTTTAAATTGACAAAGAGTGTTAATTAAAACAGACTTCATCCTTTGTACTCCAAGTGATACATTGTTCCAAATGGTCCTAGCGTATGTAGTTTTCAACTAGCTCTATCTCATTGCTGTACAACTGAATAAATGCGTGTTCACCATTAGAACATTGCATACTGGTATACCGTCTACTGCTTGATGTATCTACAGTCTATCTGGTGAGATTTAAAGATCCTATACTGTTTGTGGCAGTTTTCCCCAACAAAGCGATTAACAAATATTGCATGTTTCAATTACAATGCTTCACAGATAAATGATTCAGAAATGACTCCGACAACTGGTAAGATCTAGGTACTGGTTACACTGGTAAGATCTAGGTACTTTGTAACACTGATGATATCTAGGTAGTGGTTACACTGGTGAAATGCCAAAACTTGCCATTTTTATAGGCACAACCATTTATGGAAAGAGTTTCATTTGTACCCCACCTACCCTTAACTTTAATCATTACTCCCAGCCCACTAATAAAATTGTATATGTTCCCTCTCGATAACTACTTGTGTCATTAGGAGGGACATATACAATTGAATTGGGAATTAGAGTTAGGGTTAGGGGTGATGAGTACGAAAGGAATTCTTTTTTTATTCATATTAATGTCGATGAACAGAAAAAGAAAGGAAAAACAAAAACTTTTGAGTGTTTACCATGACTACAACATTGACTGATGAAGTAGCTCCAGTTTAGTGTCCAAGTAACGTACAGAGCAATTGTGTGCTACACACAAATATGTGGGATAATGAATTTTGTCAAATGCGCTATGTTTTCCTTTTACTTTGTATATTCTATATAAAAACATATAGCAACATTTTAATAAATCTCATAATAGCCACAATAATGTTGCCAAACACTAAAAACTAGTTCCGCTCCTCAGTACAATGCTGTGAAGGACAAGGTATGATTACCATGATTTGAATAAATTGCAGCTAAAAGCAGAATAAGCTTTTTCTGGTAAAGTGAGGTCACAATGACCAGTTTGTCTACAAGAATATTCAAATTACCTGTGACAGAGCAAGATTTAGGATCACTCAGTTGATGCTTGGAGAATACCGACACTCCCACCAACAAAAGCCCCCTCAGCGGCCAGGCAGGCGTTTTTTTCAGAACCCCCCAACTAACTTATTTTCGAAAATAAAAAAAGAAGGCTTGTGAGAGCGAGCGAGAAATACTAAGTACCCCGGACTAAGTACCCAACATGTAATACATTATGATACCTACCTATATATAGAATCAAAAGAAATATATATCAACCAATCTGGACAGTAATATACATAGTACCAAACGAGATTTCGATATATGGTAACAATTCTAAAACGAAAAGCAGTATTTTGAGCTTTTAACTCAGTAGAAATTCACAGTCGAGAAATTCTAGTCTTTTAACCGCCCCAGCGTTGAAATTAAAGCAGAGGATCAGACGAGAGAAATTCATCCTCTACCACCGAATGTTTAAATATTAAGTATAATTTTTCTAATAAACTAATTGTGTTATTTGTGATATTCAATTTTAAACTATAATAACTGTTCCAAACAAGGTTTGAAAACTGTAATTTTAGAAAGGTAGTTTTCACAACTTCCCTATAAATTCTATCAAACCCCTAACCTGAGAATGAGGTTCGCTATCTTCAGGAAGAACCATTTTATTTTAATTTTAGTGAGCTTTTACCATTGCATATTGCTGCCTTTTTAGAAAGTTTAGAATATCTGGAAGTGAGTGGGGCTACTTACATAGACATTGTGGTATGACTGAGAATATCAAAGAAGATCATCCATGCTGCTGCAAATTAACCGTTACATCCCTTTGAAATAATAGTACCTTCCAAATAAAACATGGCGACTTCCATGTGTTGAAAATTTTCGGCGTGTTATGCGTATATGCATTCGTACTGTGAAGTTCATTTTTCGTTTCTTACATCATTCACAGCAACCAACCATTGTCTATAGATCCTTGACAATCGACACAATGCCAAGAAGCATCAAACAGAAACTGGGCCACAAAAAGAAATGGAAGGTGAGTTTATAATATGACTGTCTATTATTTTGGATCAAAAGACACTGTCTTGGTAGGACGACATACCAGAGAATAATATACCACGGGACAAAATTCCGATATTAAAATTTAATATGACGAGTAGGTTTGCAATAAACTAACCATCACATTCAATCAATGTTAGCAAGACGCTTATGATACTGTCATAGCGAGCGCAACGAGAACGATCGAAGGCCACTCACGAAGCGAGCACTTTAAAAAACGGTGCACTTCCATAATGTACATTTGTATACTATTTCATTTTTTTTTATTTTTACTACCGCTAATAATTTTTATGGTAACTACCGCAATGATTTTTTGAATAATGGGTCATATTTTAGGGAGATCATCAACACTTTTTTCTCCCCAGTACAGTACATTATTGATATCATACAACAGGTAATGCATGATAAGTGAGTGCAGATGAGCAGATGAGCAGATGACTTACTAAAAATAGAACTCATGTTGAAGTGTGTGAACTGCACTCATTTGGTTTGTCTGTCATTGAATCCAAAACCTTGTGTTTCAGCACTATGGTTAATGGTTTGTCAGTTTTATTTTTAGTGAATCAATATTCTGCTTATCTACATTTCCTTGTTAGGTAATAAATGTTGTTTATTCAGTTCAGTAAATGTTTGGTTTCAGCCGAAAGGAAGTGGTAGGATAGGTTATGAAGAAATCACCAGAGCTAATGCTGCATTTGAAAGTTATTACAAGGTAAAACATCACATTGACTAGCATTTAATATTTAGCAAAAACATTTGCTGCAGATATCTTTGTGATAGTATTGTATCGTATATCTTAAGCACAGTCGCTCTATATACTATAGAGGGACTGTGTATTCAGGTATTAATCATTATTGAAATGGAATCATTGTTGGAATCGCCACAGAATACAAATTGTAATTGATTCACAATAAAGTATATGTAAAATGTCTACACAGAGTGTATATCAGAATCAAGTGATTTCAGTGGTTACTGCATTTACTGAAATTGAGAGAATTTCACAGCAATCTGAAACAAAATTTGCTACAAGAAATTATGATCAAGCTAGTTTCATCAGTGATATTTGTTTGCTTGCAGGCTCAGGGTATTGTTCCAGAAGGAGAATGGGACCAGTTTATGACAACTTTAAAAACTAATTTACCAGCTACATTTAGAATAACAGGTTTTAGAAGGTGAGTCAATCCAGAGGAAGTGATGTAGGTAGAAAAAGGCGAATAATGCATTCTTGAAGAAAAAAATAATGATAAAAATCCCATGTTTATAACTTATTGACCTGTAAAATCTCACTTGCAAAAGATAACACAATATAGACTTGTTTGTTTCGTAATGTATTAATTGTTTATTATTCTAAAACGGTATATTAATTTATTCATTTGTATGCCATGATGTCAGTGATCAAATGCTATTGGCTATTGATGTCACTGCATAGGTCATAAAAATGTTAAAGCTAAGTGAAGGGAAAAATATATCAAATTCAGACATTTCTGCCGTTTTAAAACAAATCTTAGTTGTGAGTGAATCAACAAATATTTATCTTATTTTGTTTTTTCAGACATGCCAAGCAACTGTTGACATTTTTAAAGAGTCACTACTTCAATGAGTTGGTGAATGTTGAGGTGGATGGATTAAGTGTTGCAAAACCATACCCATTACCATGGTAAGATATATAGGAGTTGACTCTCATGTCTGGTTTAATTGTGTATTGATTCATATAGTAGCACATAAATAAGAAAAACCAAGTCATCAATAAAAGCATACAATGATAGTTTTTCTGTTGCTTTTGTTTAGTTACATGTATAAATACAGGAAATTATTATAACTTTTTGCATATTTCACTGGGTAGGTATCCTGATGAACTTGCTTGGCAACTGAACCTTTCCCGCGGCAATATCAGAAAAATAGCAGCTTTAGAAAGATTACATAGCTTCTTAGTCACAGAGACAGAAAGTGTAAGTACAGTGTTGAACTAGCAAATTTATGATAAATTGATTGAACCCTCACATTTGTCGTGTACTCAACTCAAAAATTAACAAAAATATTGCTTAATACTCTGGACTTCATAAAATTGGGACAGATTACATCATCGATGGAAATGGCAACAAAGCAGTCACAGTGAACTTAAACTGTTGACAGTCCCCATGCTCAATTTGTTAATATACTAAATCGGCAAATGTGGAAGGCATTGCAAGAAA